GCGCAGGGCCGGGCGCGCCTTCCTGACCCGAACCCCTCAGCAGGGACGCTGGGCGCCCCTCCGGGCAGCGATGCGGACAGCGTGGGCGGAGGCAGCGAGTCTCGGTCCCTGGACTCCCCCACTTCCAGCCCCGGTAAGGCAGGCCGGACCTGAGCCGCCCCCGCGGCCGCCCTCCCGGCCCTGGCCAGGTCCGAGCCTCGGTGTCTGCCCAGCCCGTGACCGCCCTGTGTCCCAGCCTCCGACCTCCACCCCTGGGGTCCTACCCTTACCTCTGACCTCTCTGCCCCCCCCCCGACCTCTGGGCCCTCCGCAGGGGATCACAGACTCCCCGTGAGCCCTGGGACCTGCTCCAGCCTCTGTGACCCTCTCCCCCAGGTTCTGCCACGCGGCGGCTGGTGAAGGTGGCATCCACAGGCACCGAGTCTTCCGACGACTTCGAGGAGCGAGACCCGGGTGAGGCTGGCAGCGGGCACGGCGGGGAGGGAGGGAGGGAAGCGGACCGGGCACCCCTGACCCCGTGTCCCTGCAGACCTGGGGGACGGGCTGGAGAACGGGCTGGGCAGCCCCTTCCGGAAGTGGACGCTGTCCATCGCGGCTCAGACCCACCGGCTGCGGCGGCTGCGGGGCCCGGCCAAGTGCCGCGAGTGTGACGCCTTCATGGTCAGCGGGACGGAGTGTGAGGAGGTGTGGCCCGGGCTGATGCCCTGATGCCCTCGCTGACCCCTGCTGACCTCCCCAGCCCCTGAGAGCCTTGCAGCCTTCCCGCCCCCGGGAGCCACCCCGACCCGCGGCCCTTCTGTGCCAGCTCCGTTCCCTGACCCGAGACCTGCCCGACCCCGTGACCTCCCCAGTGCTTTCTGACCTGCCACAAACGCTGCCTGGAGACGCTGCTGATCCTCTGCGGACACCGGCGGCTCCCGGCCCGGACGCCCCTCTTCGGGGTGGACTTCCTGCGGCTCCCCAGGGACTTCCCGGAGGAGGTTCCCTTTGTGGTGACCAGGTGCACAGCCGAGATAGAGCTCCGCGCCCTGGGCGTGCAGGTGCTGCCGGCCCTCCACTGTCCCGGAAGGGAGCCGCCCCTGTGAACAGCCAGATCACAAGCCCAGGGGCCCTCTCCCCTCGGCCTGCAGGGCATCTACCGGGTGAGCGGCTCCCGCGTCCGCGTGGAACGGCTGTGCCAAGCCTTTGAGAACGGCCGCGCGCTGGTGGAGCTGTCGGGGAACTCGCCTCACGACGTCACGGGCGTGCTCAAGCGGTTTCTGCAGGAGGTGGGTGCTCGGGGTGGGAGGGCTGGGGGCGAGAGCCCGGCCGAGGGCCCTCGGCAGCCGCCCACACTCGTGTCCGCCGCCCGCTCCACCCCCAGCTCACCGACCCCGTGGTTCCCTTCCACTTCTACGACGCCTTCATCTCTCTGGCTAAGACCCTGCATGCAGGCCCTGGGGACGGCCCAGGGACCCCCAGCCCCAGCCCCGAGGTTACCCGCTCGCTGAAGACCCTCTTGGGACAGCTGCCCGACTCTAACTACAACACCCTGCGGCACCTGGTGGCCCATCTGTTCAGGTGGGCACTGGCCCCTGAGCCTCCAAACGCGGCCCCCTTCCCTGGACGTGGACTGCTGCCCTCTGTGGCTGACGCTGACCTCCGACCTGCTTTCTGACTTACAACCTCGGATCCAGACCCCACGCCCCGGTGCCCTGACGCCTGACCCCCAGCTCTGGAGCTCTGTGTGCTGGCCTTAAAGGATGCCCAGAACCCCTTAGCCATAGCAAGAGCGAGTCGCCCGGGCCGGCCCGCAGGTCCTCCGCGGCGCCTGACCGATGACCCTGCGCCCACCCCGACCCTTCTCACAGGGTGGCCATGCAGTTCGAGGAGAATAAGATGTCTGCCAATAACTTGGGAATCGTGTTCGGGCCGACGCTGCTGCGGCCGCCGGACGGCCCGCGGGCGCCTGGTGCCAGCCCTGTCGCCTGCCTGCTGGACTCCGGGCACCAGGCCCAGCTGGTGGAGCTCCTCATCAAACACTACGAGCAGATCTTCGGGATGGACGAGCTCCCGCCGGCCGCCGAGGCCCTGCCCCAGGGCGCCAGCCCAGCCCCAGAGCCCCTCGTCACCAGCCCCCTGCAGGAACCCCCTGTTCCTACAGCGGCCCCACCGCCCCCAGCCGCAGCCCAGGACCTCGGGCCAGACCCCAAGTGCGACAGCGCCCAGGAGAGGCGCTCCCAGGCCACGCCCTCCGAAGCCACGCCCACCGAGGTAAGCCCCTGCTGGGCCTACGTACTAGGGGGAGCCGGAGCTCTCCCCCTTTACAAATCTCTTCCATTCTCTTCCCTGCCCCACGCCGTGCGAGGAGTTAGGGGGTGGGGATAACAGACCAAGGACCAGGACAGTGGTACACAGATCTGGCACGGGTGATTAGAGATTCTGTAACAGAATGTTTATTAACTCCTGCTTGCCTGTTCTAGGCATTGTGGATGCACTGGTGGGTGACTAGTTCAGAAGCCTTAGCCTCTTGATGTCGGCATTCTCGTGGGAAGAGAACAATAAACAATAATAGAGCTAGGAGGGCTTGGGGATATAGCTCAGGGGCATAAGCGCCTGCCGGGCAAGCACGAGTTTCTGAGTTCGATCCCCGGTACCGCAAAAATAATAATAATAATAATAGAGCTAGGGACAGTGAGGTGTGCCTGTTACCCCAGCACCCAGCAGGCTGAGACAGGAAGATCACTTGAGTCCAGGAGTTCAAGACTAGCTTAGGCAACACAATGATACCCTGTCTTAACAAAGAAAAGGAAAGAAGAAAAGAAAAGGACTCCACTCAAAACAAGTCAGTTAATGTGGGATGTTACTAGGTGCCAGTGACCCGTACAATGCAGGAAAGGCAGGCTAGGGTAAGGGGCGACAGGAGGGTCGCCATGGTGACAGGGAGAGGGCCGTCTGGAGCAGTCCGGGTGTAGTGAGTGTGGCTCCTACAGCTTAGGCAGATGTGAGAGAAGGCTGCCAGGGCGTGAGCACAGAGTGAGGCCAGCGCGAGCCCAGCAAGAACATGGGGAGAGGGTGCCAGGCAGAGGGCACGGCCCATGCAAAGGCCCTGGGGTGAGGCATGCCTGCAGTCTGTCCAGAGTGCAGTCCTGCCACAGAGGGGCTGGGCTAGGCCCTTCCTACTGAGCTCCAGACCTTTTCTGAATATTTTCTTTTGAGACAGGGTACGCTAAATTGCCCAGGCTGGGCTGGAACTTGCGGTCCTCCTGCCTCAGCCTCCCAGAGTGCTGGGATAACACTCGTGCACCCGCAGTATGCTTTTCAGGGCCTTCTTTATGCCCTGATGTCCAACCGCAAGGAACTTCGTGCTCAGAACAAACTCGTGGGTCCCCAAGAGTCTCAGCGCACCGGGATGTCCTCGTTAGGGTCTCACCACTGAGCTTCTCCCCGCAGACTGCAGCTGTGCAGAGTGACCAAAGCGAAGAAGATGCCCCGGACCCGAGCGACAGAGCAGGGGAAGGTGCGTTGGGGCGCAGTCAGGAGCCCCAGGGTGCCCCCGGGGAGGCTTAGGGTACTCAGCATTTTCCTCCCCACAGTGCCCAGCCACGGCCCTGAGGACTCGCTCCTGGGGACACAGTCCCGCGGTCACTTCAGCCGCCAGCCCGTGAAGTATCCCCGCGGCGGGGTGCGGCCCGTCACCCAGCCGCTCTCAGGCTTGGCCCTGGTGGCTTCCAAGCTGTGCGAGGAGGCCCCTGTCCCCGCAGTGCCCCGGGGGAGTCCGCGGGCCGCCACCTCCCGCGAGGGCAGCCCCCTGCGCCGCACCCCGCTGCCCAAGCATTTCGAGATCACGCAGGAGACAGCGCGGCTGCTCTCCAAGCTGGACAGCAAGGCTGTGCCCAGGACCACCAGCTGCCCACAGCCCCAGCCTGAGGAAGGCGAGGACCACCTCTGACACCCCACCACCAAGGAGCCAGGACGGAGAGGCCAGACCAGGGCCCCCACGGGCAGCTTGCAAACAAAAGGCACAGGGCCAACGCTGGGGCGTTCAGAGTTCCTGTGAGGAGAGACTGCACAGCTGGGGAGAGCCCCAAAACATTTGCGGGGGCAATTTCCGTGTCCCAGCAACTCAGCACCAGGCTCGAGCCCCTCAGGGTCGGAGGTCACAGGGGGTACACACTCAGGGTCCAACAGGTCACGAGACCTTTGGGGTGTACCCAGGTCTCTAACTCGGGGACTGGGGTGCCTCTTGCTATGTCCCTAGTGATCATTCAACGCCCCGCCCCCTGACCCCAAGTGACCAACCGGAGGAGGACTCGGGCAACCCAGACCCCCTTCCTGGTGGCGCTCGGGGCTGGTAGTCTGTGAATAAACTGTATGGCGTACCCTTGTGTGTCTGTCTTGGCCAGGGGAGGGTGGCAGGGAGGAGGCCACGGGCCAGAGCAGCACCCCCTTTTACTCACTAGGGAAACCGAGGTCCCCTGCAGGCGCAGGCACCCTAAAAGCACGCAGGCGGTCAGGGCAGGGCCTGGCCGCGCAGCTGAGTCACCCAGCCCGGAGCTCCGTGTGCCCAGCTGGGCCTGTGTAATCACAGATGTAACCAGGCACAGATAGCCGCACAATGGGGCTGTGTGCCGCGCCGTGGGAGTCGCTCCCCTCGGGTGGAGGCCGAGGTCACGAGGCCGAGGCAGCCCGATCTCGCTCGGGCGCAGGCAGCT